TTTGGTTTTGAGACTTTAGTCTTTGCAACTTCAGGGATCTTATCTATTCACGAACAGCTTGTAACACTCCAAAGAGAAAGGAAAACTTGAAATCGCATCATATGACCCCTTTAAGATGTAGCTGAAGTTGGATGTAATCCGTTTTTTAATTTACAGTTTATACATTTTTAATAATGTAATTTCTGATTTATTTCTTTTGAATTTGGAGTGAAATAAAACCCCCGGCATGTTCTTAACAGATTTTGTGGGATTCATCCATATATATCCTTGTGTCTGTGCCAATATAGTCAGTGTCTGCGCATGCCCATATACGACCAAAACGTTTGAACGCGTGCAGGACGCACACATGGTATGGTATGGATGTGTGTTTGTGTGTGTGTGTGTGTGTGTAAGCATCTATCCTGCACTATGTGCCAGTGTGATGGAACCTTATGGCGGTGTGTAAGTGTGTGACGTTGAGAGGTAATCTCGGTCTCTGTGACGTGGATCACCTGCTTTCCTAGCTGCTCGTCAACAGATGGAAACTAGAGGATTAGCTCTATAAGAGCGACGGTTGACAGAGCGAGGCAAAACAACCTCATCGAGCAGAAGAACAACTCGCAGAAAGAGACAGGGGATATATGTGAACAAAACTACATTGATTCCAGGCTCTCTAGAGGGGGAAACAAATCAGTCTGACTACAGAGACTGACAAACATTCTCTGAAGAAGTTTGAGAGCAGAACGCAAGGCAGAATCCAAACATTACTTTTGCGTTTTTCCTGTAAGACTCCCATTTTTTTCTTTGGAGATCGTCGGAATAGTTGAGACATGACTGTTATCAAGGTCAAACAGTGAGTATCTTTTGGTATGTTTTTGTCTTGTTCATTCTGTAATTGGTAAGCTAATAGTTCTTTAATACATTTACATTTAGTCATTTTGCAGACACTTTTATCCAAAGTGACAGAAGCTCAGTCTTTGTCAGGTTGAGCTGTAGGTGATATTCTTTCATCCATGCCGAGATGTCCGCCAGGCAGCCTGAGATCCGTGCAGCTACTGTTGGATCATAGTTTTAACTGGATAATAGTTTTTAACAGCCAAGCCAACCCTTAATTATAAGGTGTTGAAAAGTCTAGAAAAAAAATAGAATACAGTGTCATTTATCAGTGGTTATTGTCATTTGGTTTGGTTTTTAAGTTTAACATAAGAACAATTTTACATTTGTTGTCTTTACTAGTAGTTCTAGGTGAACATCTTGGTTTGACAGTAGTTTTTGATTGTTAACTTTTATAGTTTACCTCATATGTACTGTAATGTTGAAGTGAAATGCTCTGGAAATGTTTGACCCAGTACACACTAGCAATCTGAATATCCCCACATATGGACAACAGGTTGTCCGGTCATGTGAGGTTTTGATGTGCGGCACACACTGCTGTTGTCTGCTGACTCGGTGCCAGTTTTGTTAGTGGCAGCAGCGGGTTTGACAGAAGATGTGACCTGGTTTACATACCGCAGCGTGACTCGGCATGTCTGCAGGTCAGGATGGGGGTTATACACAAGCAGGTGTAGCCGGGACAACAGCATGGTTATTTCTGTTGGGATCCAGATTATGATTATCAATAAGACCGTTGAGGTGTGTGTGTGGGTGTTTCTGATTGGTGAGTGGTTGCTTGCGTAGTGGAAGCATGTGTTTCATGTCTTATTTCTTTTTTGATACCTTTATAGAGTCCCCACCGTCCCAGTGAAGAACTTAAATGGATCCAGTCCTGTCCATCCAGCTTTGGCAGGTGAGAAACAATATGCAAATAAGTTATAAATAGTGACTGTGAAGATTAAATATAGTAAGATTTGAGATAATTTTGTAACTAAAGACGCTGAACCTAAAAATAGATGGATATAAAACAGATGAGATTGTCTCTTCTCGTTGGTTAGGTATCACTGGGATTCTAATGAGTGCCGCTG